GGTTAGTAGGGTTGTGGGGTTGCCTGTAACTCTCTCACCTCCCAATTACCATTATTTCCCCATGTATAAGACACACCCTTTTTCGAAAAATTTGGGGTCTAAAAACTGGGTGCGTCTTATACAGTGGTTGTATGAGCGCAAAAACAAGCGTGAAAAAAGCGGGAAATGCAAGTAAAAAAAAATCTACAACCACTGTATAAGACGCATCCAGTTTTTAGACCCCAAATTTTTCGAAAAAGGGTGCGTCTTATACATGGGGAAATATGGTATCCTCCCTGGAGTTACATTTTCTAATCCTCAAAAAAGAAAAAAAAAATGATTTTGTTTAACAAGAACACAGCAAGGGTTTTACAATGTGCTCCCTGGGGTGGAGTAAATTGAAAGCCCAACCATTGGGCCCAGCACCCCATGGCTTGAGTGGAGTGTGTGTGTGTGTGTGTGTGTGTGTGTGTGTGTGTGTGTGGTGTGGTATGTGAGAGGTGTGATGTGTGAGTGTATTTGAGGAGTGTGTGTGTAAGTATCTGTGTGGGGGGTGTTTATATCTATGTGGTATGATGTGGTGCATGTCTGTACGTGTGATGTATGCGTGGAGTGAGTGCTGGGTGTGTGTGTGTGTGTGTGTGTGTGTGTGTGTGTGTGTGTGTGCGCTCCTCCGTGCATGCAGGGTGGAGGGAAGTAACCTCGCAGGCTGGGTCCCCGTCCCCCACGTTCAATCTGGACTCAGGGGGCACAGTGAACACACCGACTCCTGACTTGCTCCATCTGGCTAAAGGGCAGGAAGAAGCAAGGAGACTTTTAGCTCAGAGGAGCACAGCTGGGCAAGTTCTTTCTTCACAAAGGACTGGAAGAAAACAAGAGGCCATGACAGTGGGCTGTGGCCTGGGATGGAAGAGCAGAGAAAAACCCAGGCCTTGTTGGCAGTCTCCAGATGGGGTCGGAAGGGTCCCAGCCTAAGGAGGACAACGCCATGCTGTCCCCTAGCACACCTCACAGTCCCTCTGCCTTTCAAATGACTCCCACAATCTCCACAGAAGCTGTCATGGGAGGGCCCCAAATGCCCCATTCATAGTTTGGAGAAAGAGAATGCAATTTCAATTAAGGTCACAGCCTGTCAAAAACATCAAGTTATTAATCTTCTTGTGGCAAATGTGAACCGGGCCCTGCTTACACAGCCAATTGAGCATGCTCTAAATGAGTGTTTGTAGGTAATTGATTCAGCTGCCAGCCCCATGCCAGCCGGCTACAAGCTGGTTACGCCAGTAACATTAAATAATATGAGGCGGTAAAATGGCCTGCCTGATTGGGCCTGCAGTCAGAGGCTGTTAGCGCCCGATTTACCCAAACATTAATGTCTTATTGGCTTAACACAATTTACTCCACCTCAATTGCGGAAAATGATTTTCATTTCCTCTGAAACCCCACTTGCAAGCATAGCACAAAGGAGTCTTAATAAATGCCATCAGTTCACTCCTTTTTTTTTTCAAACATGACCTCAAGGTTTTATAACAAACCTTTCATAATAATACAAACAAACAAACAAAAAAGCATAAGACTTAGAACTGGGTGTCCTGGCCAGCATCTTGAGTCTGAGCACCATGGTTTGGGTGGTAGTGTGCCCTCCTTCTAGAAAGTTAGCCCCATCTCCTGCCCCCACCCCACCCACTACACTCCCTCCAGTCCGAACACGCAGGAGTCCCTGCCCTTTTCGCCCTATGTCCCTCTGTGGGGCTGGGGCTGGCCATGGCAAGTCCTAGGGATACTCTTCTGAGCCAGGGGTCAGTGGCCTGCCCGGGGAATCTGACTGGCTGGGACCTTCTCGGAGATCAGCCCAGCCTGCGCTAAAAGGGCCGCACCCTGTGGGGGACTAACACTAGCTTCCACGGAAGCTTTATATTCCTCAACTAGTTTAGAAAAAAAAAAAAAAGGCTAAGGTGCATAGTGGCATAGATGACAGCAGAACAATAGCTCGGGACATTTTCTTCTGTCTCCTGTTCATTCATCCAACCCACTCACAAGGAGTGAAAAGGAGTCGCCCCACCTAACAGCTGCAGATGGCCCCAGGGGCTTAGGCTGGCACTGGCAGTTGAGGGTGCCCTCCTCAAATCTGGCCGGGGGTACCTCAAGAGGTGACAATGTCCTAGGAAAACCATCTCCCCACCATCCTCAGGGGGTGACGCCCTCTGCCCCCAAAGGTCACCCCACTCACCTGTCCTTCAGAACAGTCTTGGCTTTTGTTCTCATCACCTCTGCTTCAGCTTTTCCCCGGAGCAGCCCCCAACCCCCTCTAGACCCTCCACCCCAAAAACCCCCTGGTTCATAGCTCGCAGGGACCTACAGATCAGATGTCTCCATGGGCAAGCACTGCTTCCCCTCTGCATCTCCTATGGCCAGCACACAGTAGGTGCACATCAGTGCACACACCTGGCACGTCAAGCCGAACTGATGCCACTCCACAAGCTCAGGGCAGCTGCTGCCGGCCACGATCTTCAGGCGCTTTTCTCTGAGAACCGCCACGGACCCATACAGGTGGCCACTCCGTGGCGAACCCAGTGATGGGGAAGGTGGGGGAGGCTGACGGGCTTGAAGACAAAGGTAAGATCTCCCCAGAGCCCAGCTTAACAAGAGACCCTCCTTAAAACCACAGCCAAACGCAATACGTAGACTTTGGATCCTGACTTGGAACCAACCAACTCTAAAACGATAGCTTTAGATCAATATGGACTAGATATTGATACTATTAAAGAATTATTGCTAACTTGGTTAGAGGTGATAATGATATGGTGCTTATGTAAAGGAAAAACATATCCTAACCAACTGTGACCCCTACTGATGGATCTACAGGTGAAATAACATGATGGCTAGGATTTTGTCTTAAAAACTATAACAAGATAAAACTAAACAAACACCCTTGTGGGGACTTCGAGTTTCATTACGCTGTTCTTCTGGGGTAGGGGGGGCGGTATTTGAAATTTCCCATTAAAAAAAAAAAAAGACTGCTATTACCTTGGTGGGGGATTAAGGAGCTGAGGGAAGTATTCCAGGGTTCCGGCCCCTGGCCCAGAGCTCATACACAGGCCTATTCAACGGTAGCACAGTCGGGCTCTGGGACGCAGGGCTGGAGGACAGCTCAGGACCTTCCTAGGAGTCACCTTCGGAGCTGGGCTCCCTGCAGCACAGGGCACAGGGCTGCTGGTATACAGCAGATGGCAGAGTTCCACACTGGGGCAAGCTAGTCCTGCTCCAATTTCTGGGTTATTTTTATTTGAGGCATCATCTGTGGGTCACTGTGGGCCAATTCAGTTGAGAACAGATTTCTGGGGCAGTGTCAGTCTCAGAGACCACTACCCAGCCCACCCCCGGGAGTCCTGAAGAACTCTTCCTGTCCCAGATCCTTGCGGGGGCAGGGGTTCTGGGAATCTCGGAGCAGATCCTGCACTGCGGCATGGACCACGTGGCGGCACAGGCTGGGAAAGGCTCCACGTGCCCTCCCATCCCCCCGGGTCCCTGATGAAGCACTTGTTCCATGCCCCCATCCTGGAACGCCACAGCAACACCATGCTAACCTCTTGCCACCCAGGGTAAGAGGAGAGAAATGCAGAGGCTCCCTGTTCAGGGCTCCATTCAAGGTTAGACTCCGAAAAAGACACCTATACCCAAGCCACGTGATGGTGAACGTCAAGGCCCACGCAGACCCTATCTGCTCCTAACCCTCAGCCTGCACTGACAAAGGGAGCAAGCCAGAAAGGCTGGGAGCAGGGCGTGGAGGCAGACCTGGCCCTGAGGGTGCCCCAGGGGGACTTGGGCCCTGCAAGGTGGGCAAGGGGAGGCAAGGCCAAGCTCTCGAGACCAGGTAGGAAGGGGCAGCCCAGGACTGGGAAGGGGGGGATGGCGGTAAAAGGTAAAACTCTTTACTCTGCACTCACAACACCTGTGACACCAAATGTGTGGGTTTTCCATACCACCAGGTCTCTAATTCTCTGTGGACACCAACTGGATGTCCTCTCATTTAACTCTGACACTAACTGCTGGAGTTACCATAGACCCCACTGGTCAAGGGCTCAATCCCACAAAACTGCCCCCACTTCAGACACTCATCACAAATCCGGCCTCCCCTCTGACTGACTGGCTCTAAATTGGGGGTTCCCATAACCCCCTCCTTGGGTTTGATAATTTGCTAGAATGGCTCACAGAACTCAGGGAAGCACTGCACTATTACCACTTTATTATAAAAAATACAACTCAGGGAGAGCCAGCTAGGAGAGATGCACAGAGTAAGCTAGGGGGAAAGGACGTGGAGCTTTGATGCCCTCTCCAGGCACTGCCACCCTCCTAGCACCTCCACGTGTTCGCCAGCTTGGAAGCTATCCAAACCATGTGGTTTTAAGGTTTTTACAGAGGTTCCATTATGTAGGTACAACTGATTAACTCACGGGTCAGAGCTCAATCTCAAGCCCTTCCTTCTCCTCTCCCTGGGGGTTGGCGGGTGGGGCTGAAAGTTCCAACCCTCTAATCACAGCCCATCATGGCTGGGCAGCCCCAGGATCACCCGGGCGGCACTGGCTCGCCACAGGCCTGATTGGAGCCCAAGGCCAATGGAGCTCTCCAGAACACGTTATGAGCCACTTAACCATCCCGAGACCCAACTGTCCAAGCACAGCAGACACAATGGCAGCGTTTACACATAAAAACGGCAAGCTGTTTTACTAGCGCCTCTCAGAGTCACAATAGCCGCTCTTTGGTCAAGTTTCCTGCAAACTGCACAAAGTCCAAAGAGGGGAATGATGGGGCACTAAACCAGCCTGAAAAGTAATCAAAGATCGTTACCATCTAACACTCTGCCAAGAGCCAGCGAGGAGGCTGCACTTGAAGGAGAAATCCCTGCTCATTATCCACACTCAATCTGCGCCCGTCACCGCGGTGCCTCATCGGCTGCTGGCTCAGAGGACATAAATTACTGTGTTTACATTTCAGTCTTTACCCAGAGAAACACAGCAGCTTACCTTTCCATCTCATATTCTTTCATTCCCACTTTTACGGCCTTCATTACCTGGAGGATGGATATTAAGCAAAGACATTTGTATTAGGAGAGAAGTAGCACTGTCTGATAAATAATGTATAGCATTTTTTCCAAAAGAATCTCTTCTTTTAAAAAAAAAAAAAAAAGAGGATGTTATGTGCACACAGTGGTGCAGAAATGTGACAAATTATAACTTTTTTAAAGCTCCCAAAGCCATATGGTTTATTTAAGCCACTCTGGAGCACTTCTATTTGGAAGCTGATAAACACCCAGCACAGAACTGGGGCTCAGGGGGCAATGGGCTGAGGGCAGTAAAGATTTAACTGAGACGTCGGGGAACACTTAATGCTCAGAAAGCTATGATTATCCTAAAAGGTTTCCTTTGTTTAACTTCCATAAAACACAGTGACAATGAACTCTACAAGATTCTGCCCACAAATGACCCTTGTCTATCTCCTGACACAAAGCTGTTACTGTCACCAAGCAGGCACCGGGCTATCCCAGTCACGCTGCCCATCTTTCGAAAAACACACTTCCTTATTTGATCTTGCTCCTCAGGTAAAGCGGGAAGGTTTGGGAAAGAACCACGTGAGGACGTTTTCAGAAAACAGAGATCTGTCATGAACGTACTTGAATCATGGGTAAGTACAAAAGATTATTTAAAAGGAGCTGGAACTGCCAGAATGGCAGGAAGGAGGAAACCCTGCTTGCCTGGAAGTGGGGACTTCTAGCTGGGCAATTCCCTGAGGGTGGGTGCCTTAAGAACCTCTGCTGTCCCTGCCCTGTCCCCACTGGGGAACAGAAAAGAGAGCAGTCACTGCGCGTCTGGAATAAAGCGACGCTTCCTGCCTGCTCGCGTGGCGCTGGGGACCAGAGCCGCCCTGAGATGGTCTATCTGGACGCTGCCCTGTTGTCCCACACAGGGTGATGCTGTTTGCCCAGAATGAGCCAGGGCCCTACTTACCTCCCGATGGGCCTCGCTGGAGATTTTATTGGTGTAGCGCAAAACTTCCAGCTCCATGTCCGTCTTAAACACCCGGCTTCAGGGAGGAGAAAAGCAAAGCGGCGAGTTAGTAACGTCCAGCAGGAGCACAGGCCCAGGTCGTGCCCAGCCAGGCTGCTGATGGGCTGCCTGGGCGTGGGGGCGGTGACAGGGTGGACCACCAAGCTGCACTAAGCGCTGCCCATCCTGACCTAATGCCAGCCTCTGGAGTGCAGGCTGTTTCCAATGACAAGATCTGGAAGCCACGGTGGGTGGTGGAAGCAGCCCAGCTTCTGCAGCCAGACATACCCTGCCTCACTGGGACTCCGTTTCCTCATCTAGAAAATGGCGACAGAATCTACATGGTGAGGCCGTTGGGCCGGAATCTTAAGTATGCCGTCTCTAGGGCTCTGCCCAGTTGGCGAAAGAGGTCTCCCATTTCCTCCGAACCCCCACCCACCGGTAGCCCAGGGATGCCATGTGACTCAGGCCCCTGCCTGAGACAGGGGTGGGGGCGGGAACAGGGGGGCTGGGTGGGGCAGCCAGGTCCAGCCCGAGTGCAGGAATGAACGTGGAAATAGCCAGTCTGCAGAGAGCAGCAGGCGACATGAGTGGACAAGAAAGAAACAGCAATAAGAGGAGGGTTTATGTGGGGCAGGAGGTGCAACCAAGAGACCCTGCTGACCTTTAGAGACCGGCTGCATTTCCCGCACCTAGACTCCAGGGGGCTCCTGGGGGCCTCACAATCAACGCATGTTAATTTGTTCAAATTCGGTTAGGTGTCTGGTCTTTGCAATGAAGCTCATCCCCAAGTAAGACTCACACAGAGAAGCTAAATAAATATTCGTTTCTACCTCTACCATTTCAAATAAGCAACCCCAGGTCACAGCCATGTCCAGTCATTAAGAGCACAGGGTCCTCAGCCACCCCTCATGGCCAGCTCTGCACCCTTACAAAAGGCGACCCATCTTCCCCAAAGCTCCCACACGGCCCCCTCTCCCTCTCTCAAAGGGAACAGACGCATGCGCCCTCAAGATGGACAAAGCCAGAGCATCTGACGACAGCAGACCAGTGCCCGCCCCTCCGCCTCTCCTCCGGCCGCGGTCCATGCTCTGAAGGCTGACCGCCCTGAGCGGCCTCCCGGGAGGCAGGCAGTTGTCAGGGAAGGAGCCTTCATCTCTATCAGAGGCAGCAAACCCTTGGCACTTCACAGAAGCAGCCTGAGCCACTGGCTTGCGCTGTCTCTATGGTGCCATCCGGCTCGGACAGCCAGCCATTTGTCGCCAGGAAGTGAGGAAGGCCTCTTGTAGCACAGTGACGCCCACTTAAGATGGTAAAACCTGGGGAACGTGGAAAAGGCAAACCCCCAAGCCCACTGGGACGTCTTCCCAATGAACATGTGTTCCTTCTTGAGGGGCAGACCCTGAAGCCTAACAGTTTGTTCGTTATCATCATAAAGGTGCCTCTGATTCTCCATCAAGGCACTGGGAGCACCCCCCACACACACACACACAGCGTGTTCCTGTGCCAGGGAGGGTGCGGGTCCAGAGCTATGGGCGGGACTCAGGTGAGCAGCTCAGGGAGGGTGCGGGTCCAGAGCTATGGGCGGGGCTCAGGTGAGCAGCTCAGGTTTCCGAGGTCCGGTCCCTCCCGCAGGATAAGGGAGCAGGCCCTGGTGCTCCGCGCCCCACTGCCGCCCTGCTCCTCTCTTCTCGCGTTGTGATGGCCACAGTGACAACACAGGTTGGCTGTGTCTGCCTCTGGCCTTCTGCCCGTCTAACTCAGCTTAGCTCCCTGCTCCCTCCTTCCAGCCGCCACTCTAATCGATATTTTAGACCCCAGGCCCTGTGCCCATCTATCCACACAGGCTTAGCCAAACGAGGGTGAAGCCAGAGCCTGTGCCTGTGCGTGCTCCGGGGCTGGGGGGCAGTGGGGGAGTCCTGCAGCTGGGGGGATGGCACAGCAGCTCCTCGTCAGCAGATCCTCAGCCTCCACCCCCCCCATTCTGCCAGGAGTTGTGGGGAGCGGGGTATGGGGGCCATGCAGGAGGCCTACCCCCTCAACTTTCTCTACCTTCCTAAGCTCTCTCCAGCAGGTAAATAAACTCATCTCCTACTTCTTAGAGAACACAGAAGCCAGCAGGTAGGGGCACTCTCACCTCTTCTCCAAACCCCCAAGCTTTGCCCACCCCCTCATGCCCTCCTCCATGCCCCCCTTACAAGGGAGGGGGTGCCCTCTTCCTGATGAGGCTCACACACCTGGGCTCAGATGGAACCCCAACCTCCTCCATCCACCTGGCTCCTATTAACAGAAGCTCCACGAGCACTCGCCTACCCCCTCCTCTTCTTCTAGCCAAGCCTGAGCCCCCACTACCAGCCATAGTTCTAGGAAGGAAACCAAAACAGTCCTTGGCTTGAGAGAGGAGGGAGAGCAGCTTTTATGTTTTACCCCGAACCAGGTCCCCATGTCCTCTGCTCCCTCCTGCGCCCACTGCTCCGCCAGCTGCCCTCTCACCAATGTGTGAGATAATGACACCAGCCGCCAAATCCAGAGGCACAAGGTGACCTCCCGATGAAGAGGGGCCCTGCCTCCTCTGGCACTGTTTGCCGCTCCCCCGCCTCCGTCTCCCTGCCCGGCCCTCCCCTCCCTGCCCTTCAGCCCCATCTCGGATGCAGGCCTCCCAGCTGCACTTCTACCTGTAGGTCCCCCAGGCACCCCCAGCTCAGCGTGACAGAAACTCCCACCCATCCACAGGCCCCCATCTCAAACCACAGTTCTCTGCCACCCCTGTGCTGCTTAAAACATAAACAGGGCATCACCCCAGGCACCTCCCTCTGGTCCGTCCATTGCTCCCACATCCAACTGATGACACCAAGGACTATGAATCCACCTCCACAGCCTCTCTGGGATCCTGTGTCTCTCTCCCTCCAGGCCCCACTCCCTCCAGCCTGCACAGTCTCTCCTGCCTCTTCTGGACTCGAGGCCTCCAGGCCTGTCTGCTCCCTGACAGTGCAGGAGACCTTTAGGAAGTGCAAATCTGACCTTGCTTTTCCTCGCTTACGCTCTTCAGTGGCCTCTAGATGCCCTTGGAATGGAGTTAAAACTACAAGGTGACTCCCGAGGTTTTCCAGGCCTTACCCCGACTTGCCCCACAGTGGACTCCTCTGCCCAGAACTGGCTAGTGCCCTTTCGCCTGACCTTTCATCCTCCAACTCCCTCCTGCCCCCTACCAGGCAAAGTCCCCTCTCTATGTTCCCTGGGCAGTCTATAGAAATCCTCAGTAAGCCATCACACTTGTAATCTCTTTTTCACTGAAAATCTCCTCCCAGGTCGTAGCCCTGGAGGGCAGGGTGTCAGGGCCAGAACAGTGCCTGGCCCAAAGCAGACACACAGGAACTGCAGGTTAGAAGCAGTACCTGGGCACTGTACCAAAGCCGGACACACCTTACTTCCAACAAGAAGAGATAATGGCCTCATTTCGAAAAGAAAAGGTGGCCTCCTCCGCTGACCTGGGGAAGTTCACAGCTCAGCGTGGGAGGTTGCTCAGCCTCAGCTGCCCAAACTCCCATCACCACTGCCTGGGCCTCAGCCACAGACGTAGAAAAAGGCAGCCCCGGGATCTGACCCCCCAGGAGCCCACCTCACAGGCTCTCCATTCGGCCTCCTCCCTGCATCTCAGCACCCTCGTTCCAGAGAGGAGCCGGGGAAAGCACACAGTCAGCTCAAGGGGAGAGACACTCGGAGCCCAACCCATGCTCTTTTCCCTTCAGAGATGGGAAGCATCTTTAGCCATCGAGGACCACAGTCCTGTTTTCCAATTTCACTTTGGGGACGATGACGAGCTAGGCCTCTAGCTGATGTACTTGACTTTTTAGTCACATTAAAAAAAAAAATCATCAAATTGAACCAGGGCAAATGATCCCACAAAGACAGTTCTCCAGAGAAACCGGCCTCGCCGAGCCCTGGACTGGCCCAATTTAATCCAGGCTTTCAAGGCCCTGAAAATAGACGTCTGCTGTGTGTCGGCTTACCCAATTATCCGTAGGGTACTCTGGGCCTCAGGTCTGGCCCAGGCGCCAGGCATGCCGGCCTGGCCCACTTATCTCCATGACACAAGCACCAGGAACTTTAAAGATGACTGCTGGAAATAATAAGACTTTACAGCATTCTGCAGACTGTCTCCCCATCTTCAGGAAGAATTCACGGGCCTGAATCTGATGAGGCTATTTCCATGACTCTTGAGCATAAAAAAGGCAAGGAAAAGGGGCATTCCGCCATGGTCCCACCTCTGTGGGGCCCCAACGGCCTCCGGAGCAAGGGTGTCAGCCTCAGCCCAGCCTTATCTGGCCCAACGCTGTGTGGGGTGGTGGTTAGAAATGTGATCTGCAAGGTTTTTGTCCCCAGGAGATGACGAAGGCCACCTCCTCCATGAAGCATCAGAGGACCAAGGTTCAGGACGGGACAATACTGATGCCACCGAAGGAGTCTGGGCAGAGGGCGGTTCAGGCTCTTCCACCAGGAAGAGGAGGTGCCTGGCATGTGTGGGAGACACACGCAGAGTCCCCAGCTCCTGAGGAGGGGGCTGCTCAAGTAGAAAGGCAGCACTGCGGGCAGGGGAAAGGGAGGGGTGAGTCCCCTGCTGGAAGCCTGAAATGACGAAAGCTGGACGAGGCTGAGATTCATTGGTGCAATTTTTTTCCCCTTAAATATTCACAGGTCATGAAACTGCCTCTGGCCATTAAATGCAGGATGAAGACATCAATTAAGTGAGGTCTGAATGCTCCACTGATGAAAACAGTAGCAAGACGGGATGGAGTGATTTCCAAAATCAGTCTCTAAGCATCAAAGTGTCATAGTGCTGAACGAAATCCATTTCGAGGGACAGGAATTCCATCTCTCCTGGAGATGAATATAGGGAGGATAGTTCTGTGGGAGAAGGGGGTGGGAATTTAATACCACAGGATCCCCATGACTACTCCTTCCACCCCTGTGACCCAGCGATGCAAAGGGTAAAAATCCCAGAATAGTAGCTGGGACAGAAAGGAGGAGAGCTGGTTGGAATTACATATCTTCAGGAGGCTCAATCAGTAAGTCCTCTCAGAGAAAGCAGAGCCATGAAGAAATGATGGCCTGCCTCAGCTGTGAACTGATTGTGCCTGAGACCTGACGAGGGCCACATGCAGGGGAGGTGTGGGAATTCAATCTCTGCACCTCAGACCAGGGCCCGATGGTTCCACATCCGTTTTCTGCACCGTAAGTCAAACTTTCACTCTGCTTAGAATCCCGCGTTCTACTTGGTGTTCTTGTTAACTTAGGGTTAAATGCCTGTTTGTTGGGAGACAAAGACAGCAACCCTACTGGAATACTTTTCACATCCACACCTAGAATCTAGGTCATCATCTACGTCCCTTTTCTAATTTGGGACACATACAAGGACATAGGATCCTGGTGTGCTTCTGCCCCCGAACCATCCGCACGTCACCACCTCCAGAGCATCGAAAGGCCGGGGAGTGCAAATTGAGATGTTACCCCACTGCCTGATTAATACATGCAGGACACCTTCGCTCCATGTAATTAACAGTTCTAAAACCGGCGCATGACTCAATTTCACACAGCCTCACTTAAAACCCAAGAAGGCGCGCGGCAATTGCAGACATACTTGCTCTCCTGTAACGCTTCCAGAGGTACTTAACTGAAATCTAAGGCACTGAGCTATTAGGCAGTACAAAAGCATCTCATTTTATTTCCCGCCCTACCTTCAGATCAATTTAATCATCTGCAGAACAGGAAAGTAAAGCCACAGCCTAAATTATGGAAGTGAGACGCCCGCTCTTATTAAGTTTCAACTTTTGACCTCCGCATTCAAACTGCAATACCCAGCACAAGAGGAGAAATTATCAGTGATGATCTCATGTTTGTGGGGAAGAGTATGATTATAGAGGAATTTACAGGAAATCCAAAAAGGCACTGCTTTAGAGAATAGAAAACAATAAAGCAGTCACTGAAAGGAAACCAATGACACCCAAACAAAAACGAGAAAGGAAGCTGGGAGAGTGCTGCAAGAGAGTTTCACTGCCTCCCAATCAGAGAGGCTCCGAGAGGAATCCTGAACCCCCAGCTTACCAGAAGCTGGGGTGCAGGTGTGTAGCAGGAGGCCCACGTGGTGCTGGTGGGGCTTAGCCGCACAGCCCCTTGGCCCCCACCCCACCCCACCCTGGCCTCATGCAAGATCCATTCTGGGGGCTCTGAGCAACGCTGTATGTCCAGCAGCCAAGAGTGAACTGAAAGAGAGGCTGCCACTCAGGCAGCCCCCCGGCCCCTCCAGGGTGCTCCAAGGGGCAGCATAAGATCCTGGAACCGTCGTCAGCTTGGACTCAGTTTCTGGCTTTTTCTTGGGCAAATCACCTCCCTGAGCCACAGTCCCTCATGTGGAGCTTGAGGATAATCAGAGCACTTTCCTTATAACAAATAAAAGACCTCTTTAAATAAGGTGACATGTATCAAGCATTTAGCACACTACCCGGCACACAGGAAGTCTCAAAAGGTTAACGGCCATTATTGTTCAGATGTGTGAACACTTATGCTGTCATTCAGTTCTTCAGACATCCAACAAGGGTGACAAACTTCTACTTTGTAGGAGAAGAAACTGAGGCGCAGTGCTATAGACTGAATATTTGTCTCTCTCCCAAATTCAGATGTTGAAATCTCATCTCCAATGTGTTAGCATTTGAAGGTGGGGTCTTTGGGAGGTGAGTAGGTCATGAAGGCAGAGCCCTCATGGTTGGGATCAGTGCCCTGATAAAAAAGACCCCAGAAAGCTCCCTGCCCCTTCTGCCACGTGAGGCTGTCTATGAACCAGGAAGTGGGTCCTCACCAGACCCTGAATCTGCCGGTGCCTTGGTCTTGGACTTCCAGCCTCCAGAACTGTGAGAAATCAATTTCTGTTGTTTCTAAGATGCCCAGTCTGTGGGAAATGGTGAGAGCAACCCAAGTGGTCTAAGACACTCGGTGACTCTTCACATTCACACCGTGAGTTAGGTTATTACTACGTCTCCATTTTACAGATGAAGAAGCTGAGGCTCAGAAAAGATAAGTAACTTCCTGAGGGAGCAGGCTGGGGTCAGAATTTGGCTTTGCCCGAATGGTTTTTCCATTACCCCAGGCAGCTCCTCTCCATGGGGCCTGGAGACAGACTGTGGTAAAAGCATTTAGGACACAGCGGCTCAAATATGCATCCGTGAGTCATAAATCAAGGTCATGGGAAGACCCCTCTCCCCTGTACGTGAGGACCCTCCCACCAATCCACCCAGAATCCTTCCTTCAGTGACTCCAGGAGGCCAGTGATCAGATTATCATGGCTCTCTCCAAGAATGACTCCATCACTATAGATGCCAGCACCCACACTATTAAAACACACCCCTGAGGCAGTTAGGACATGGTGACATTTCCAAAATTGTTCTACTGCCATCAAATGCCAAATAAGTCCTTTCTGCTGCTGGCTTTAATAAAGTTGGGAAGTATTCTTATGAACACAGAATCTACTTCCGAGCCTTGATGAAATGTCACTAGAATTAAAGTGTACTTGTTCCAAAGTGACCAACTAATGACTTATCCCTTAGGAGATGCTGGAGCGTACAACTTAGCCATCATCTCCAAAGCACCTGACAGTAAGCGGCCATGAGGAAATGTCACAGGAGGGGACTTAAGTGGACACAGGCCTATTCCTGAGTATCCAGGATTTATTCTTCTGCCCAACGGAGGCTATAGATGGGCCAGGCATTTGTTACTTTATAAAACAAGAGGCGGCTGTGAACTTGAAGTAGATAGGCACACTCTCACAAAGTGTGTGGCCATGATGGGCGCTGGGCCAGGGCTGCTGACAGAGGTGGGCTGGCTGGCCTGCCCTCCAGATCCCCCAAGGGTCAGTACCGAGGCCTATCAACAGCCCTCAGATCTTCAACTCCAGTCCAGTCCCTCTCCCACTGGCATCTGCCTCGAACTCAACACACCCCAAACAAGTTCCTGATCTGCAATAGCACCTGCCTCTCCCAGCCATCCCCATCTCGATGACACACCACCCAGGTTCTCAGGACAAAAACCCAGAGTCACGTCCAACTCCACCCTTCACTCAGCTGTCACAGCAGGATCCTCCCAGTAGCATTCCCCTTGACTGATGCCTTAACCTCTCAACTCTGTCACACCTCCCCTCCACCACCACCTAGACCCTGCAACAGCCTCCTAACTGGCAACTTGTTTCCACTCTCGCCCTACAATTGAGCCTCCCGTCTGCGGCCAAAATGATTTTTTAGAATGCAGGCCTGATCCTACCATTCTCCGGTTTAAATCTACCGAAGGTTTCCCATGGTTCCCAATTCTCTCAAAACGAAGTCTAAGCTGACACTGTGGCCAACCCAGCCCCTGCCCAACTTTCTATCCACGCTCAGGAGCCACCTCCCCAGGGTGTAACTCTACGCAGGCCACACAAGGCCATTACCCTTTCTCTTATCTCCAACCTTTGAATAAGTGATCCTTCAGGTTGGATCATTCTCTCCTTCTCCCCTGCTCTGCACTTCCCCCAACCTCTACAGCTGACTCCTACTCATCCTTCACGTTAGTGTGTTTCCTAGCTCCAGGACTAGGTGAACAGGCTCTCCCAACTAGACAGGGAAACGTGACCACATGGCCTTAGGATCAGACATGAGGAGTCCGCACACCTCCCAATCAGGTGATGATGTGGCAAAGGCCCTCCCTCACCTCTCGCCCACATTCAGAGTAAGTGCAGCCATGTAACAAATAAAAACGTTTCGGTGCTATCAAAGAGCAACTCGATGGCTTAGGAAGAAAACCGGTGGCACATCTGAGTGGGAGGACCACTTCCAGGGTCCAGGGAGACGATGCCCCACCTGAGAAAGTTTGTCCTGGTGCAACCTACCAGAAACCAGTTATGCTGCAGGTAAGGGCTGCTGGCATCACCAAGGGAAGAAAGTAGGCAACATAGGAATATGGATACCAGGATGCCAACTACTGAAGGCAGAGGCATGACATGAGGAAAACATGTTTACCTTTCTGGTAATAGGATTATGCATGATATTTATTTTTACTCTTTTCACTATCTACTTTAACTTAGCTACATAAAGTTAGCATATTTATAGTAGGAGCTTTAAAAGACTGAAAATAAAGGAAAAGAGAAATTTAATTGACATTCAAGTGACTCATGCCCTTTCGATAAAACAACTGGAAAAACAAAAAAATCACAGTAAACACAGGAGTCTGAGAGAAGAGGTTTTAGGGACTGGCTTGTGTGATGGGCTCTCTGAGACGGAGCAGGCAGGAACAGCGGCGTCGCTCACCTTCCGGAGCTGAGCACAATGAAAACCAACATAACCACAGGCTGTACTTACCATTCCACTATCTCTGGATGAAGAACGGTGTTGTTGACATTGAATCTACAGAGGAAAAACAAAGCAAGCTCATTAGTTCAACGGCCAATCACTTACCAGCAAGAATAACCTTATTCAAGACATAGATGCCATGACCGAGAGGGGACCCCAAACTTTAATTTCGTGACTCCCTGCTCGCTTCCTCCAGCAGACCTGGCAGCCCAGGCCATGGCCTCTAAGTGCAGTCAGCTGAACAAGCCGCTTGGCTGGAAAATGCCATCCTCCCCCCTTGCCAGGCAGACAGCATAGCTCCTTCCGCCAGGTACACCAACCTATGCAGCATGGGAGTCCCAGAAGAAAAGGAGAGAGAGAAAGTAGAAGAATATCTGAGAAAAGAATGACCACACATTTTGCCAATTTAATGAGAAACGTTAATCTACACATCCATGAAGTTAAATCAATTCCAAATAAGATGAATTCAAAGAGATCAACAACTAGACACATCATAATCACATTGCTATGTGATTTCAAGAGAGAATCTTGAAAGCAGCAAGAAAAATGCAACTCATCACATATGGGAAATCCTCAATAAGACTGATGGCTGATTTCTAATCAGAAGCTATAGAGACCAGAGGGCAGTGGAATGACATAGTCAAAGTGCTGAAACAAAAAATTTGTAAACCAAGATTCTATGCATATCCAGTAAAGCTATGCTTCAAAAATGAGACAGAAATGAAAAGTCTCAGATAAACAACAACAACAAAAAGAATTAATTGCTAGAAGGCCTATCTTACAAGATATAGTAAAGGAAAACCTTCAAACTGTAATGAAAGGGCACTAGAGAGTAATTCAAATCAACATGAAGAAAAAAGGCACTGGTAAAAGTAATTATATGAGCAAGTACAAAGACAGTGTAATGCATTTTTTGTTTATAACTCCTTTTTTCTCCTAACTTAAAAGACAACTGCATCAAGCAATAATTGCAAATCTGTGTTGATAAGCACAAAATGTATAAAGATGTGATCTGCATGCAAAAAGAACACAAAGGAGGGGAGAAAAAGAAGCAAAGTTTTTGTATACCACTCAAATTAAGTTGACTTTAATGCAAACTAGATAGTTATTTATAAGTTTAAGAGGTCATTTGTAATCCCCTGGGTAACAACTAAGAAAATAACTAAAACACACAGAAGAGGATCAAAACCATACACTACAAAAAAATCAATTAAATACAAAAGAAGGTAGCAAGGAAGAAACTGAGGAACAAAAATGACATATGACATATAGAAACTAATAACAAAATGGCAGGAGGAAGTCCTCCCTTACTAGTAATTACTTTAGATGTAAGTGGACTAGATTTCCCAATTAAAAGACAGAGATTGACAGAATGTATAAAACAATATGCTCCAACTATACACTCTAAAGAGACATACTTTAGATTCAAAGGTACAAACAGGTTGAAAGTGAACGGGATGGGAAAAGATATACAGATGGTCCCCAGTTAACAATCTTTTGACTTATGATTTTTCGACTTTACAATGGTGTGAAAGCAATATACACAAGTAGAAACTGTACTTCTAATGTCGACCTTTTCCCAAGCTAGAGATATGCGGTATGATACTCTCTCGTGATGCTGGGCATTAGCAGGGAGTCGCAGCTCCCAGTCAGCCACACAATCATGAGGGTAAACCACCCATACTCTAAAGTGTACTGTGTTGCCAGTGTTTTTTGTATATTGTGTTTGTGGTTTTTTATTCCATCATGTCTATAAAATACCCATCTGTGTCTCCTGCTTCTGGTGAGAAGTAGAAGATGAAGGCAATTACTCTTGAGATGAAACTCAAGATAATTGCCCAACTGTAGGCTAATGTAAGTGTTCTGAGCATATTTAAGGTAGGCTAGGCTAAACTATGATGTTCAGTAGGTTAGATGTATTAAATGCATTTTTGACATAAAACATTTTCAACTTATGATGGGTTTATTAGGATATAACCCCACTGTAAGTCAAGATGCATCTGTATCATGCAAACAGAAACCAAAAGAGAGCTCGAATAGCTCTACTAACTGTTAGACAAAATAAGCCTTAAGACAAAAAGTTTTACTAAAGACAAAAAAGGACATTTTATATTGACAAAAAGGTCAACTGATGAAGTAGATGTAATCATTATAAACATATACGCACCAACCAACCCAGCCCCACGATATATGAGTCAAATACGGATAGAATTGAAGGGGAAATGGACAATTCAACAACATCAGTTGGAGACTTCACTACTATATTTTCAGTAATGGATACAACAATTAGATGGAAGATCAACAATTAGATGAAAGGAAAGAGAAGACTTGAATGACACTACAAACCAACTAGACCTAACAGACTCCATCTAACAGCAGAATACTCATTTTTCTCAACTGCAAGCAGAAGAAACAAATAAGAATTAGAGTTGAAATAAGTAAAATAGAGAATAGAAAAATAATAGAGAAAATCAATGAAATCAAAATTTGGTTATTTGAAAAGATCAACAAAAGTAGCAAAGTCTTAGCTAGAATGACCAAGAAACAAAGAGAAGGCGTAAATTACTGAAATCAGAAATAAAAGATGGGATATTACTACTGATTTAATAGAAACCAAAAGGATTATAAGAGATTATAATGAACAATTGTGTGGCAATAAATTAGATAACCAAGATGAAAAGGACAAATTCCTAAAGACACAAACTACCAAGACTGACACAAGAAATAAAAAATCTAAATAGACCTATAACAAGCAAAGAGATTGAATTAGTAATCAAAACTTCTCACAAAGAAAAGCCCAGGATCAAATGCCTTCACTAATTCTACCAAAAATTTAAACAACAATTAACCAATCCTTCATAAATTCTTACAAAAACTAGAAGAGGAAGGAACACTTTCAACTCATTCTACAAGGTGCTACCTTATTATCAAAATCAGACAAAGACATTACAAGAAAACTATAGATAAAATTCCCATATAAACATACACACAAAAAAATCTTCAACAAAATATTAACAAACAGAATCCATTGACATATAAAAAGGATACACATCATAACCAGTGGGATTTATCCCAGAAATGTAAAACAATGTTCATACTTCAACATAAAAAAATAATCAATGTAATACACCATATTAATAGAATATGGGACAAAATCACACGGACGTAGAAAAAGCATCTTACAAAATCCAATACCTTTTCATGATAAAAACACTCAATGAACTGAGAAGAGAAGGGAAGTTCCTCAACCCGATTAAGGGTACCTACAAAATACCCCACAGCTAACATTATACTTAATGGTCAAAAACGAAAAGCTTTTCCCTAAGATGAAGAACAAGGCAAGGATGTCCTCTCTCTCCACTTTTATTCAACATTGTAGAAGATATGAACATACAATTAACCAACCTGACGTAATCGACATATACAGAGCACTGCAGCCAACAGCTGCAAAATACATGTTCTCTTCAAGTACACAAGAAACATTTATCTGAAAGATCACATGCTGAAAGTCTTAACAAATTTCAAAGTGTTGAAATACAGAAAATGTTCACTGATTATGGTAGAACTAAACTAGAAATCAGTAACAGAAGGAAAATTATAAAAATCCCAAATTGCTTGGAAATGAAGCAATAGACTTCTAAACAGTCACTGCTCAAAGAAGAAATAACGGAATTAGAAAACAAAAACATGAAATACCATAACCACCGAGATGCAGCTAAAACGGCACTTAGAGGAAGATTTAGAGCTCTAAATGTATTTAGCGGAAAAGAACATTGAAAACAATGACCTAAGGTCCCATCACAAGAACGTCCCTTTCTTCTTTCTCAAGAAACTAGAGAGAGAGAACAAATAAACCTAGAGAAATTAGAAGGAAATTAAAGAGCAGAAATCAATGAAATAAAAAACCAAACATACAATAAAGAAAAATCTACAAAGCCAAAAGTTGTTCTTTGATAAGATGAACATAATTGAAAAGGGGGCCCCAGGAGACAAGAGGCTCCGATGGGGGCATATCTCTGACACACTCTGTCACGTCAAGCTATCAGTGAGATAGCCGGGGAAACGCGACATGGCCCAGCACAAAGGATGGGGCTCAGCAGGGAATCCTCAGCAAGCCTTCACCCCTCTGCCTTCCGAAGCCTGCCCCATCTCAGGTCAGGAGATCACGCACAGGGCATGCAGGCCTGTGACCAGCCAGGAACTCTCCATGGCCTCATCACTGGTGTTTGAAAAATAACTATCTACTGTCGTGATTGTGAGGCTGGCACCCCCACTCCTGGAGACGGTCAAGGACAGGAGAGAGAAGGGGGTCATGGGCAGGCCGAGAGGATTCCAGCTTGCCAAAGCTTCCGGATTCCTACCTACACAAACGAGACTACTTAATTCAAAGTCAACCGAAGTGGTGTAGAATCAAAGCCCTGCTTGTGAAATATCAAAGAGACCACAGGCAGCCAACACGGCTCAGCGTGAAGAACAGAGCAGCAGATGACATAAATCAAGATGACAACACAGACTCTGCCTCCCATTTCGCCAAATGTCACTTTGACATTAGGAAAAGCGATGGCCTATCTCCTCAACAGTCAAACGCATCCGTAAAATTTCACTTTACAAAATGTATGTGCGATACACACATGCTCCCACACACCTATGAGCGGCAAAGTGACCCAGCACACAGACACAAACACACAGATATCATGAGCGTAAACACAACAGACAAGATGAACACACACACAAGGGCAGCATACACTTAGAAAAGAGGTGCACACAGACACACACAGATGTGTATACACAGGCAAACACTCAGAGAGACACACAGATGTGTATTCACAGACACAGGCAGACACATACTCACATACACACGGACTCAGGCACACATGCTCAGAGACATGTAGACACACTAGACAGAGCCACACACACACTCACACACAGGCATACACTTAGACTAACACACAAAGTTCCACACCCAAATATACACACGTAGAGACACATACACTCACAACAAACCCACACTCGGACACAGAAACACCCAGACAGAGAAACACACTCAGATACACACAGAAGAGTCCAAAAGACATTTGTCACAGTGTTGACAGCGTTTAACTCAGGGCAACGAACTTTGGATAGTCCTTGCTTTTGTCACTGTGCTAGTTAGCATTTTCTATGATGAGCATGTAATAATTGTGTAACAACAATCACAAACGTACCAGTGCCTGTGAGGGTGGGGGCGGGTCCTGGAAGCAGAGGGTAATTCCCTGGTGGGCTCTACCAGTGCGCTGGGTGATGAACGGTGAGTAGCCTGGCCCCAACCGCCTGTGCCCCAGCCCCCAGCCTCCTCCCTGCAGTTTCTAACCCAAGGAGGGAGGCTAGGCCTGCCTGGAGAGCAGGCCCTGGAAGGGAACCCCACTCCCTACCCCTCCTAGGGGCTGAAGCAGGTTCTTGTCCTTTCAGGATCCATCCCCCCGTGGAGATTCCATGGGCCATAATTGGAAGTCCAACCCTAAATACTAACTTGATACACAAGTATATAGTAACCAGGAGGCCAAGGTCCCCACACCACGGACTGGCATTTTGCTGTGACTGTCAAGTTTTAATGATGTCCCTCTGCTACCTGGGTTTTAAAATTTGCATCTTGGAATATTAATATTCCCGCACTAATGACCCCTAAATTCAGCAATTTCATATTTAACTGCTTATTTAAATGGAATTAATCTGTAACCTATTCTCTTCAAATATGCAAGGCAATTTAAGTAAATGCCAAAACACAGGAAATACACTTATCCTGAAGAACCAGCTGATGTCAAATATCGACGATTATTTCTCTGTCAGACAACAGCATGAAACAGAGCCCTCTGTAGCTCACTCCTCAACCCTCGGGCTCCTAGGCACACAGTCTGCCTGCTTTGGAGGGGACTCGCATGCCAGGAAGGCGCCCCCATGAAGCTATGCAAACTTGATGAATGAGCAACCCTCGGCTCAGGCCACCTGAGCCCCCACAGAACACCTCTTTCCCTTCATTGTCAGCACATCTCTCTCTCAGGAAAATCTGCTCCAAAGTCCACCTCCTCAGATGCTAATGAAGATTTATCATGTCTGACTTTGCTCCCAGGCTGCACGAACCAACTGCTGCAGGCAGCCGTGGTGGCCGCAGCCCACAGCAAGAAGCCTCGCGTCCTCCTGACTGCAGAGCAGCCCTCTCCATCTCAGCTTCGCCTAGCTCCAGCCCCAGACCAGCCCGGCCATGCCCTCACCAGGACCCAGCAAAGAGTACCTGACCGCATCCTCCAGCCAGAGCCCACAGACGCGCCTGCTCCTTCCATACCTTCCATGGGAGCTGTCCCTACTCCAATCCGGCCATACATGAGAGCTGTGGCCTGGGCCAGAGCCCAAATTCAGCCTGAGACTGGCAGACCGTCCCTACCTGATCCCTTCACACCACCATAATCACACCTCTGGTTTCCTAGGAAGGACAAAAGCAAACCCCTTGAGCCAAGCGGGGCTCAGGCCATAAGGAGATCCCAGTGTGTGTCTACCACCCCCGCCCCACCTTTGCTTCCAGTTCTCTAACGACCTCACCACTGCGAGACCTGGCACACCCCTGCTGCAGGCAGCAGGTGGCCTAGCCCTAATCTGGAAAGATGGAGGGAGGTCTGAGGTCTCCCAGGACCAAACCCACAGCCCCACAAGGCTTAGCCCAAGTGTGACAGACCCAAGGCAGCCGACCCCGAGCTGGACCAGGCAGAACCAAGAGACTCTGGCATGAATGGACAGGCGAGGCCACAGTTCTACCAGAAGCTCTCTCCTCTCCACAGGCCAAGGGGTAAAGGCAGCCTGGGATAAGCCGTCAGCACAAACCGAGAAGCCAAACCCAAACTTCTCCTAAAGCAGGTCAATCAAAGATCTAAGATGGGAGGTGTTGCAGAGACATTCAAAAGGGTCAAACCCAGAAGTTCCAGGAATAAGGCATTGAAAAGAGACCAGGGATAGAAGCAGTTGAATGCTGGAAAGTAGGACAACAGTAAGACTCATCTTGCTTAGGAAACAGGCTATTATTATCCCCAGGCAACAGCTGGAGCTTCTCACGGCAGGCAGGTCAACTCAGTTGGTGAGCCTCACTAGTCCTTGAGGACAAGGGCCAACCCCCGCCCCCCAGCCTAGAACAGAGGCCAGGAGATGGCAGAGTCGAGATGCTAGCAGCCGGGGTGGGTTGGAGGCTGGGCTGCACCTAGACCCCAGGAAAGCAGACAGGACTCGGCAAGGAAGGCACTGGCGGGCAGCTAGAGGCAGAGGCCAGGGCCGAGGTCAGTGCCCATGGCATGTGGCGTGGGGGTGGGGCTGCACGAAGGGTGCTACAGGGGGATGGGAGGCCCAGAAGGTGCCACAGTGGCATAGGGACAAGCCTACAGGGGACAGGAGGGAAGGGAGTACCACAAGCAGGCCAGGAGACCCCAAAGCAGAGAGATACACGGGAGGGCTCTCACGTGCAGTGTGTTAGCCAAGTCAGAAAACAGCCCCGTACGTGGGTGTGGGAAGGAATCCCTCAGCGCGGCAACGAGGGGCCTGGGGAGTACCCCACAGTCGGCCTCTATGGGTTGGAGAGGGACCAGCCCAGTGCCTGGGGAGAGTGTGCAAGGCTAGGGTAATCGCTGGCTCTCTAAAAAGCCTCCCAAATGCCGACCAGCTGGGTGAGGGTTTGGCCGAGCATAGGCTCCTCTGAGCTCTTGGCAGGGGCCGCAGGGACTCAGGGAACGACAGTGGACAGAGGATGGGGTCTGCTCATGAAAGGAGAGGTCGGGTTCACAGCGGCACCACTCTCAGCGCGGTGGGGATGACGGAGATAATGTCCCTGGGCCCCCCACACCCACCTCTCTCTGGGAGCAGCCAACAGTGCTCTGCTCTCAGGGGCCACATCCTGAGCTCTCCCCCAGGAACCACGCCTGTCACA